AACGAAACCACACAATCGCTTGCGATAATAAATCGGACAATATAAAACTCATATACCTCATTACCTCACCACACAGAAGGACGGACACCTCACACACCTACACACACACACCACACACGACACACACACACACACACAATTGCTGCGAATGAACCTGCAAGCTACAGAATGATGTGATTTTTTCTCCTCTGCCAGGCTACATTAAACAGGATTTAAATCTTTCCGGGCATTATTAGGACCAGGCTAAGCACCGTTTAAAGCATCACCAAACTTTATTATATTACTGTTACCGGGGAGATTTAGCTAATTCACATACAGTATGAATGGACTGAGGAAACCAGATCCTCCTCTCACAGTAACACTAGCTGAACAAGCAGTTGACACAGTGCTTCAGGCTTTATGTGTGTGTGTGTGTTGTGGTGTGTGTGTGTGTGTGTGTGTATGTGTGTGTGTGTGTGTGTGTGTGGTGTTACTGCTGAATTCCAGTTATTTGCTTGAAGCTGAAGAAACTAATTCCTTTGAAGTGGTACTCTTCTAGTTTCTTTGGCAAAAAAATCAAGAGCAACATGTTTCCAGAAACAATTTCCTTACTTCCTATGTGTTAAAGCATGTAAGTGTAACATTTCATTGCTATTGGTTCAAGTCCAGCACAGACCACCCCCACCATACTTCCCCAGTCGTGTCTCATTCAGGCTCATCACTGGGGTGCGCTGGTCCTGTAAGAGAAGTATAACCATCTTAACTTGTTCTGTTTTTTAATTAACCTCTGACACTAAGGCTTTTTCTGTGCACTTCTCCACCCCGTTAATATTTAAAGAGTTGCATTACCTTAAGCGCTGCATATTAGAAGAGGAGAAAAAGGAACAAAACAGACAACAATAGACACAACAGAGAAGAAACACCCAGTGTTGTATGATCATGTTATTTTTATCTGAATAATCCTCATTTTCTTCTGTTCTTGTTGGTCCCATTTAAAACCACTTATGTTTCCAGAACGGTGACATGTTTTCTCAGATGTCAAACGTCTCTTTCTCATCCACAGTCATGTTCTGCTCCCTCAACCTTCTGAAGAGTAACATTCACCGTCTGACACTATTATACTTTTTAATATCAAGGGAAATAATTCACTTATTTCACTGATCCTGCAGACATCATCTAGCGTAAATTCAGTTTACCATCTTTAAGTAAATACAAGTCTAGTATTGAGTTGTCACAGTCCTGCATCCAACACACTGTCAGACGTCAACCTCACCATCTGAGTCCATTATCCGTCACCTGATTGTTATCAGTTACCCGCCTGTAACCAGCTCTTGTCTGCTGCCCCAGCACACAGACTGCAAGCTCCTGCTCCATATCAACAGCCTCCCCCTGTCACCTCCTGTACCATGCTCCACCTGTCCTCTTACCTCCGTCCCCTTTCCTGCTGTACCTGCCTCAACCTGTTCCTGCTTGTACCCTGCCATCCACCCTGTTCCTGCTATACCTGCAATCCACCTTTCCTGCTGTACCTGCCTCCCCCGTCCTGCCTATACCTGCATCCACTGTCCTGCTTGTACCTGCCTCCTACCACTGTCCTGCTGTACTGCCTCCCCTTTCCTGCTGTACCTGCTCCACCTGTCCTGCTGTTACCTGCCTCTCACCTGTCCTACTTCACCAGCCTCCACATTGCCTCTGTCTGCGCTAGGCCTCCACCTCCCCAGGTGTAGTAGCCCCAAGCATGTTCAGCCACCTCCCACTTTTTCCCCCCTAACTTTCCTTCTCCTACACTCACCCAACATTTACATTCTCTTTCCTTGCTTCATCTCTCGAAAAACTTGCTGTGCGGCAGCTCGCGAGGCCTCCGCCGCACTCGCAGGACCACGGTTATCCGGGTAGAGGCACCAGCCAGTGGAAATTGGAAATGAACTCCTCATCACTACAAAATATTAAAACCACTCTCGATGAGTTCACTTACACAGCTCTGTTTGTCAAAAACACACGAGCGCTTTATTCATGCAGAGAGCATCAAGATTTTCCTCTATCTCTCTCCCACAGCCACAACCACCTCTCTACCGTAGCTGTGTATCACCCAGTCTCCACTCCCTGTCTCAGTGACACCAGGTGGCGTCTCAGAACCCATCCCTACCACACACCAACACAAAAAAAAACACACAAAAACACTAAAACAGAACTTAACTATAAAATAAATATAACTAATATAACAACCAATGATCACTACAATACCCCAGTTAAAAAAGAAAAATTTAAATAGTTTTGAAAAATCCTCCTTGCTCTTTCCCACCAACAAAACCTCCAACCCGAAGAAAGAAGAAGAAGTACTTAAGAAATTCTTTTACTCCACTCTTACTTTACACACACTGCTCCGAAATACAACTCCTGCACACCAGCTCGCAGTTCCACATGCCA